GTAAGGTAAGGTAAGGTAAGGTAATGTAATGTAAGGTAATGTAATGTAAGGTAATGTAACGAAATGTTTTATAGGTAACAACAATGCCGAGTAAACAGATGACGTTTTCTAGGTACCAATAATGCCGAGTAAACAATTGACGTTTCCAAGGTAACATAACAATGCAGTTACACTTTTTCGTTCCACTTTTTGCCGAATGACATTGACCCTAAAATATAGACGTATTTACGTCAAAAATTAGAACCCAGTGGTTTCCGAATAAATTTGGTACTGAGAACAATGACAGCAAATCAAATTCCATTCCCAAATAACTTCAGAGCAAAATATATTATAGGGATGTTTGCTACCATTCAGTTCATAATATTTTATCTTATCGTTTCCTGTCTAAAATAGTGAAGACTACAACGTACAAAGTTAGTCTTTGTACGGGTGCGGAACTTGGTTCCGCGCCATAAGGAAAATGAAAAACACTAACAATACCAAGGAAAATATCTGAATCAAAGAGAGAGAGATAATAACAAGAGCACGGAGAAAATGACACAACGAGGAGCTTCATAATTTGTACTTTTATTACGAGGGTAATAAAATCAAAGTGATTGAGATGGGTGAGACATGTAACACGCCTGAGAAAGTTATAACTTACACACAGTTTTATCACAAACTCTGAAAGGAACAGATCACGCAAGAAGAGACAGAAAGATAATTTCAAATTGGTTCTCGAATTGTTAGCGTGGAACATACGAGGGTCTCAGGACAGGATCCATTGGCGGAACATAGTGAACACGGTGAAGTAATCTGGTTGATTACCTCGAAAAGTGTAACTTTAACCTTGAAAATGGAGGTGATGCGTTCCTCCGAAGACGACGTCACGACCAGGAATACCACGATCGACATCTTGATCGCCGTGAGAACCTGACATCAAACTTATTTTGTGGGTTTCATGTAGAAGAGCTCGTATTTTCTCCTTTTAAAGGTAGGTTTCCGAAAGAAAAAAGAAAGAAAGTATGTCTCTTATTTATACAGAGCAGCGTTTTTTACAAGCTGATCAATAAATCCTCCGACTTTTAATGAACTCCAAGTTTCATGAGATTTGAGGTTCTCTCATCGCCCTGATGACGGAAGCAGCAAGTACATCTGAAACGTCTGTAAACTTCTACCAGACTACACAGCGCAACAAC